TCTCGGCAGCTATGTAGGCCTTGAACCGCACACCTCGTTCTGGGACCAGTCAGTGAATCTTCCTCGACACTGTAAATCTCTCAACGGCGCGCCCGGTAAAACCGCCACATACAGATATGATCATGCACTTTCTGTGGCTCGTTGTCCAAAGAAACCCTCGAGCGATGCCCAACCAAGTGTCAATGTGTTTGGTCTCAAACTATTGACACAACAATTTCACCGTGGGTCCCTCTCTGATCCACATAACAACTATATTCGTCATTGGGACCAGGGACTTGGGGAGGTTGAGGGACAGGCCTTGCCACAGGAGATATCTACTACAGTCGAGTCACTGCTCTTTATAATGCGACGGTGCCACCCTCTGTCAGCACTCTTGCTCATTCGTTTCTGCTTGTCCCCGGCCACGTTGCAATACTATGGCACATGAGTTCCGTTGAGGGTGGTGAAGCTCAGGATGCACGGACAACAACTACAATCAGTGCCTTACAACGTCGAAGCCTGCGTTCCTACAAGTTGCTTCAGGGATTCAATCCCAATCCCGCCATATGGCAAGTATGACTCTTGCTACTGCCTGCCTATCTAGGGAGCTTGCCATGCACTAGCCCTGACCCTTCTGGCATCGAGTTTTGTCGCATTAATTAGTCCGACGGCCGGAAAGATGCTGCATCCCAAACAATTTGCACAGCCCAAGACTGTGTTAATTGACTTGAGGGATAGCCCTCGTCCGCCGTGGTTGGATTCGCCGGCAGCGGCAGCAGCCCAGCATGGGGCGCGAAGCTCAGGTACTCGTGGATGCACATATACACGGGACACATCAGGGTGGCAAAGTCGTCGCGCACCAGGCCGGCAGGGGTGAGTGAAAGAGGGGAGGGTTTCAGCTGAAGTCTACAAGCTGTCATATCAAAACATAGGCGAGTATCTCCTCCAGGCCTTCAGGACCCACCTTCATAGGTCTTTCACTTAAATTACAAAAAGAAAAACAAAGATTGCATTCCGAAATAGAAAAATACAGTCGTAAACGGCGAAGCAAAACATCATCACATAACGAAACACCGGGCCGTTCGGTACATCGCAGGCCTCAGATTGGCTCAAGATTTGGGAGGTGAGCATCCTCCTTGAGAAACCTCGGCCTGCAAAAGGAACTAGGTAAAGCCATAATATTGCGCCCACACAGCGTGATTTATTTGAGAGCATCATTTGAACCATTTTCAGCGTTTCAGTCGAAAAATTCAAGATGCTCACAGAAGTGCCTCATACCACCCAGAGCGTGCTTGGGGGTTGTTTCTCAGTCCTTTGGTGCCTAATATAAATTCAATGGCCCTTTGTGCTGCCACAAACCGGTAAATTGAACTGTTGTGCAGTGTTTCGCTATGTTGTTAATGAGCCAAATTTGGCCTCCCAGAGAAACTCGCTCCGTTCTCCACGAGTTTGGGACGAAATCCTCTGATTCTCTGAACTACAGTGTAGCGCATATGCCAAGGAGTCGATGTATGACAATAGCTGTGGCAATCTGCACCATATTGTGCCCACAATCTGCCGGGCACACAAACCGTTTTGCTTCGCCGTTTGCGACTGTACCCCAAATCAATGATGTGATCAATTGCTTCTTCTGTCCTTCCACTATGTTGGTCGAGGTCTAATTCGTAGAAGCTTGCTACAGCACAGCTACAATCAACCACAACACCTTTGATTCAAAAGTATAGGCCCGCCTAAGCTGGCTGTTACACCCGGCCGGGCTTGGGCTTCATTGGGCCTGGCCTGGCGGGCCTCGGGCTTGAAGCCAGGCCCCGAGCATCACTAAGTGTGCAAAACCACAAGGCCTTCCGCCCTCCTGGGCCAGAAAGTACTGGCAGTCTGCCTGGACACATCCACAGTTGTTTCTGCAGGATTAAAATATCCAATGAATCCACAGCGGCTGCCCGCAGCTCCTCTGGGCATTTCAATGATTTTTTGTGTAAGTTCCTGGAAAGAAGGGAAATCGGTTACATACACAACTTACCAATGGGATTGCACCGTCCCTATCCTTGCGGTTGTACTCACGGCTTGTTCAAGATCAGGGCTGTTTAAATCCTGAACCCTGAAGGTTCTCCACGTCAATGAGCGTCAATGTAACTAGCAAGGAACGAGCAAAGTCGTTACAGTGTCTGTTTTGGAGAGACTATCCAACATGTTGGTCCAGGTCCAATTGCTCATTTACCCACCCAGTACTGCGATGGTCTCCGTGGTGCATTCATGATTTATGCCCTGTTGATAAGCCATCTATTGAAACACACAGCAATTGTGTCGTTTTATCAATTGGTAGGGTGGGGCAGAAGATCACGTAAAATTCCCTTACAAGACTCAAGAACTCAAGAGCACAAATAAAAAATGCTGAATCGATCAGCGGACCCATAGTTCACTAAGAACAAATCACAGAAGGGAAGGCAGAGCAGAATGCGGAATGCGGAATGGATAACCAAACGGTAGACTAGTTTGCGGGGTCGGCCCAGGCGGGTCGGCCCAGGCGGACCGAGGGCAGCGGAGGACAGGCCTGGGACAAAGGAGTTGCAGAAAGCGTATGGGAAAAATATTGAAGGACTGACAACCACACTCTTGTTGCGGGAACACATGGAGATCTGCAGAATGAGGCTGGGCAATTGGAATAAGGGACTGCGCATGCAGAATAGGAAACAAGTACGCGCACGAGCGTCGGGCAGGAATTAGTATAAAGAGTACTGGAAAATTATTTTATTGCCTGCCACGCTCATACCTAAATTTGCTCCTCCCCAGTACATCAGGGTGGAGACTTAAAAATATAAATACATTCCGCCACAGGTTACACCGCTCAATAGTGGGACAAACCAAGGTCAACTAGGACCAGGGGCATCAAGAATACTAGTCCACACAGTCCTCCCGCTCGATAACTCGAGGCAGAAGGGAATTTTGTCACTCCAGAGTTGAAAGCGTGTGGTAGTAGAATACGCAGCACATCACTAAATGGCCAGCAGCCCAACCTAGCTGTGTGCAACTGTTAAATTTGGGATTCGATCACATATCCTTGCATGGAATACCTCCCTATCGTTGCGGAATGGTTACTCCACACGACTATAACCACTTCCCACCTATGAATTCACACCATTTCACCTCAAACCAACTTGTGGAATCAACTCCACAATAAATAGGTGTCCACAGTGGAGAAAGAAAGCGGGTTACGAAGGACATCACTATAACCTGTCCACGCTGTGTTATACAGTTCTGAAGACACCTGCCATCCGCATTATACAAGACGGGTGGAAAAAGTATAATCCATATACCTCTTGCATCCCGGCGCAGATTAGCCTTCGCATTGCGGAGCAACACCTTCGCACAAGTGTAGAAAGCTATCTGACTGCGGCTTGTTCAAAAGGCCAGCCCCCGACAAAGAAATAAATCTTCGAGGAACCTGGTGAACGTTGGCGGCCTTAACTATTGACTCCCCTGTCTGTTGCCGTATTATGTTTCCATTCTTCCTTACTAATTTCCTAGTCTCCGGATTATGTGTGATAATGTTCTTCTGTAATAGCTCCGCAACCTGCTTACATTCAAAAACTCTGCAGTGCCGCTTCGGTCCATCACCATGACCTTGTAGTAAATTGGCGCATACTCTGGATCATCCAACCTCATAGTGTTTAGTTTGCGAATCATGCCGGCTATCTCCTCTTCATTCCCTTGGTACTTGTTCCTTTCTCTCTCGTCTGGGCTTTTCTTGCTAAGTGGCCACTTTTTCTTCTTCTCTTACTTCTTCTTCTTTGCACGCAGCTTCCTCTTTTGCTGGTACTCTTTGCAGTCCGATTTGTCATCCGAACTGCTGGAACTCTCATTGTCCCACTCGTCTCCTGAATCTCCTTCATCCATATCTTCTCCCAACTCGCCTACACTAATCATCAGCGTCTCGTATTTATTCCTTCGGAAATACCATTCAGCTGTGTGATTCCACTCCTTGATGGTGTACTGATCTTCTTCTCTTCAGAAGGGATTGGTCTGCAATATGCAATTCTCCAAAATTTGCCACAACCCTCAATGAATGCCGATTTGGAAGAGCATGAAATGATCCTCCATGCTCAAATGCCCGTGTGTCAACGGTCCTTCCATGATTGAGTTGTATCGAACAAAGTACTTCCACCGCTGAGTCAGGTTGTAACATCCCTTGTTTCTCATCTTCATGGCATAGTCTTTAATATCAGCAGGCTTGTACTTCTGCAGAGTGCGCTCCGCATCGTAATGCTTCAGAATTTCTTGCCATAACTTTGGCCACTTCGTCTTCAAGAATGCTTCCATGACCTTGATCGTGTTCTGGACGTTGATAGAGCAGTAGGTGAGGACTAAGGTACATTTTTCTCAACCCTCCGTGACGCAGCACTTATTCAACACTGTGAGCTATCACTTTGTGATGCACTCCGAACACAGCCAAACAGAAGGAAAAACATACTTTCACAATTGCGACTCTGTATCCAGGAAAAAGGACAATTACCACACCTCTGAATGAAAAAGACTCACACCATTCCACAAGGCCAGACCCCGAATCAAACGGAGACCTCTCGAGTAAACGTTACAGGCACTATTCATCTCACATGTGTTACCATTCCGCCACCTGGCCGTGATACAAAAACAATATGGACCTGAATTAAAAAGTCACTGGATTAAACAGACGACCAGACTCCGAATCGAACGGAGACCTTGCGAGGAAACACTGTGGTGTCTGTATTCATCTCGCATGTGTTACCACTCCGCCACCTGGCCGTGATTAGGACGGGGAGCTTCGACAAACGGACAAAAAGAACGAGACGGACCTGATTTAAAAAGTCGCTGGATTAAATAAACGACAGACTCCAAATCGAACGGAGACCTGCAAACAAGCATCGAGGAGGAAATATTGATTCTCGCATGTGCTACCAGGCCGTTCAATGCGCATTTACTCAAAAACTCGATGCACACTCACTCAAAAACGAAACGGAGGCAAAAGTTTCTCAATGGTGTATCAGTGGCCAGACTCCGAATCGAACGAAGACCTCGCGAACATACATTGGTCAACATATACGAATCTCGTGCACACTACTGTTGCACCATCCGACCGGTGCTAAGGAGAAGGAAATGGGGGAGCAAACAGAGACGGAGTGGTTGCGGTATGGGAAACAGAGTGACTAAACGGAGAATGCAGGTGGTTCTTGGGAAACGGGACGACTGAAATAGGAAACGGAGGCGACACAAGGCTGCTCCAAGTCAATTTCTAACCCCTTCAGAATCAGGAACACGTGGACAATCACAGAGGCGAGTCAGAACTGAAAAGGAGGAACGACCGTTTCCAATTAAAGGTATAAGTACATGCGCGACATCAAACAGAGTATGGTATAAAAGCCAGCTGTATGATACGGAATGATCATCTTATTACCTCCCACTGCATATACCTAAAGCTACTCCCCCTGAAATACACCAGGGTGGGGAATTAAATTAAATACACTCCACTACGGGTCGTGCCGCCCAATAGTAGGACAAACCAAGGTCACCTAAAAAGGCCAGGGCTTGTCAAGAAACCCGTCCGTCTCACCTCCGTTTCGATAAATCAATACGGAGGAAATATAATCAACCCTGAGTTGAAAGCGTGCGGTAGTAGATTACGCGGCACACCACCAAACTGCCAGTTGCCTAACTTGGCTTCGTGCAACCGTTCCTTTTCGGAGTTCGAAGGCATATCCTTGCGAGGAACCCACCACATCGTATACGGAAGGCCTATCCTACACGATCATACCATTTCCCCCATCCAATTCGCACACTTCACCCCCGAGTCTTCAAAACGGAAGTGACTCCGTTTCAAGGCGTCCGCCAACGGAGAAACTAGGCTACGAAGGGAATCGCTATAGCCATCCGTATAGTGTTACACTGTACTGAAGAGACCTGCTGTCCGATACATTTGAGACGGGTGGATAAAGCATAACAGATAACCCGAGTACTCCGGAACGGAACAGCATTCACATTGCGGAGCGAACCCTTCGAGCAAGTGTAGAAAACTATCCATCCGCAGTACCTTCGGAAGGCCAGCCCCCAACAAAGAACCAAATCTTCAAGGAACCTGGCAAAGTGTTCAATCCATACAGAGAGAACTGTACACACACACACACCACAAATTATATATCGCGCACTAGTGTACCTTTAACTACGCAGCTCCGCAACAGAGCAATTTCCTCCTAGAGGACCAATTAAATTCTGTAAACACTACTTGACTATACCCACCCCAGGTCAGGCAGTTCGCAGAACCACAGTCCACATCATAACGCGTACTCAAAGCATTCAATAAAATGTTGCACCTCTGTATGCTTCCCTTTGAAAGTCTTTGGCGCATCTTTACTTCCCCGCACCGGCATGTCCTGAGATGTCCGGAGCAGTGCACTAAAGGACGTTGGGGGTGGTGCCCTCATGGGCTCAGGCTCGGGCGAGAATGGTGGCGACAGTTGATAGTGCCTGCACGGCAATGGCTTGTCAGAGTCATCCTCAGAACTCTGTGCCCTTTCTGATTCTCCAAAGACGCCATACATGGTGCAGTCTTTTTGTTTCCTGTGGGCTTTTGCGCTCGGAAACACCTCATAATCTTGTCCTTGGCTTGAGGGTCTTCTTTGGATTGCACCCCATCAAGAAGGGACCCTCGACGCTTGAAGTATAAACACGACCTATTTACATACTCATGAACCCATGTTGACTGAATGAAATGGCTGAGGGCAGCCAAGATTTATCTGTCTGCTGCAGATGTTCCACATGTAAATTGTTTACGATAAACTCAGTCAACAAGCGATCATTCAGGAAGAAGTGGAATCACACGGGAATGGCCGGGGAAACCATCAAATCAGAAGGAGTCAAGCTTAGTCAATAAGAAACTGACTCCTAACTGTTATGACTCAACTAGCATAGGATAAAAGGAGAAGCGACAGCTGTAGTAGACCTTACCTGACGCAAGGCCCCCACTCTGTAGTAGTACAAGAATTAATTTTCTTCACTACTTCATTTGTGCTCTTGAGCTCTTGAGTCTTGTAAGGGAATTTTACGTGACCTTCCGCCCCGCCCTACCAATTGATAAAATGACACAATTGCTGTGTGTTTCAATAGATGGCTTATCAACAGGGCATAAATCATGAATGCACCACGGAGACCATCGCAGTACTGGGTGGGTAAATGAGCAATTGGACCTGGACCAACATGTTGGATAGTCTCTCCAAAACAGACACTGTAACGACTTTGCTCGTTCCTTGCTAGTTACATTGACGCTCATTGACGTGGAGAACCTTCAGGGTTCAGGATTTAAACAGCCCTGATCTTTAACAAGCCGTGAGTACAACCGCAAGGATAGGGACGGTGCAATCCCATTGGTAAGTTGTGTATGTAACCGATTTCCCTTCTTTCCAGGAACTTACACAAAAAATCATTGAAATGCCCAGAGGAGCTGCGGGCAGCCGCTGTGGATTCATTGGATATTTTAATCCTGCAGAAACAACTGTGGATGTGTCCAGGCAGACTGCCAGTACTTTCTGGCCCAGGAGGGCGGAAGGCCTTGTGGTTTTGCACACTTAGTGATGCTCGGGGCCTGGCTTCAAGCCCGAGGCCCGCCAGGCCAGGCCCAATGAAGCCCAAGCCCGGCCGGGTGTAACAGCCAGCTTAGGCGGGCCTATACTTTTGAATCAAAGGTGTTGTGGTTGATTGTAGCTGTGCTGTAGCAAGCTTCTACGAATTAGACCTCGACCAACATAGTGGAAGGACAGAAGAAGCAATTGATCACATCATTGATTTGGGGTACAGTCGCAAACGGCGAAGCAAAACGGTTTGTGTGCCCGGCAGATTGTGGGCACAATATGGTGCAGATTGCCACAGCTATTGTCATACATCGACTCCTTGGCATATGCGCTACACTGTAGTTCAGAGAATCAGAGGATTTCGTCCCAAACTCGTGGAGAACGGAGCGAGTTTCTCTGGGAGGCCAAATTTGGCTCATTAACAACATAGCGAAACACTGCACAACAGTTCAATTTACCGGTTTGTGGCAGCACAAAGGGCCATTGAATTTATATTAGGCACCAAAGGACTGAGAAACAACCCCCAAGCACGCTCTGGGTGGTATGAGGCACTTCTGTGAGCATCTTGAATTTTTCGACTGAAACGCTGAAAATGGTTCAAATGATGCTCTCAAATAAATCACGCTGTGTGGGCGCAATATTATGGCTTTACCTAGTTCCTTTTGCAGGCCGAGGTTTCTCAAGGAGGATGCTCACCTCCCAAATCTTGAGCCAATCTGAGGCCTGCGATGTACCGAACGGCCCGGTGTTTCGTTATGTGATGATGTTTTGCTTCGCCGTTTACGACTGTATTTTTCTATTTCGGAATGCAATCTTTGTTTTTCTTTTTGTAATTTAAGTGAAAGACCTATGAAGGTGGGTCCTGAAGGCCTGGAGGAGATACTCGCCTATGTTTTGATATGACAGCTTGTAGACTTCAGCTGAAACCCTCCCCTCTTTCACTCACCCCTGCCGGCCTGGTGCGCGACGACTTTGCCACCCTGATGTGTCCCGTGTATATGTGCATCCACGAGTACCTGAGCTTCGCGCCCCATGCTGGGCTGCTGCCGCTGCCGGCGAATCCAACCACGGCGGACGAGGGCTATCCCTCAAGTCAATTAACACAGTCTTGGGCTGTGCAAATTGTTTGGGATGCAGCATCTTTCCGGCCGTCGGACTAATTAATGCGACAAAACTCGATGCCAGAAGGGTCAGGGCTAGTGCATGGCAAGCTCCCTAGATAGGCAGGCAGTAGCAAGAGTCATACTTGCCATATGGCGGGATTGGGATTGAATCCCTGAAGCAACTTGTAGGAACGCAGGCTTCGACGTTGTAAGGCACTGATTGTAGTTGTTGTCCGTGCATCCTGAGCTTCACCACCCTCAACGGAACTCATGTGCCATAGTATTGCAACGTGGCCGGGGACAAGCAGAAACGAATGAGCAAGAGTGCTGACAGAGGGTGGCACCGTCGCATTATAAAGAGCAGTGACTCGACTGTAGTAGATATCTCCTGTGGCAAGGCCTGTCCCTCAACCTCCCCAAGTCCCTGGTCCCAATGACGAATATAGTTGTTATGTGGATCAGAGAGGGACCCACGGTGAAATTGTTGTGTCAATAGTTTGAGACCAAACACATTGACACTTGGTTGGGCATCGCTCGAGGGTTTCTTTGGACAACGAGCCACAGAAAGTGCATGATCATATCTGTATGTGGCGGTTTTACCGGGCGCGCCGTTGAGAGATTTACAGTGTCGAGGAAGATTCACTGACTGGTCCCAGAACGAGGTGTGCGGTTCAAGGCCTACATAGCTGCCGAGAACATCCATGGAATGCGCGTGCCTCCGTCCGGGAAGTCTCACAGAATCCATTTGGTGTACATTTGAGTGTCTTAGAGATACCTTGGTGTCTATCAATATATTAGGATTGGATTATATTTGTTGTGCAGCGTCAGTGTCAGCGTTTTAGGGTCAGCATCAGCGTCAGCGTTTAGGGTCAGTGTCAGCGAATATTACAGCGGAACTTGTCAACTTTCAGTTACAGTTCAAATCCAGCGTCGAACTAAGTCTAGTTCATCACACAACCACCTGGTGTACATCACCACAAACCTTTTTGAAAACCACAACTCTTCTAAGAACTATAAAGGCCGCATCAGCACCCAATAGGTCCGAGAAACCAAACGGTCGACTTAAAGCTTTAAGTCGAAACCTAGTTTTCAGCTATTGCAACAGCCGTAATACTTCGGTTGGAACCCCACGAACGCATATACAAGCGGAGAAGTGATCAGGTGTTTGATTTGGAGTGTGTTTAGTGTGTGGTTTAGCCATACATTGAGACCCAGTATCCAGCTCGTTTCCTCCTCGGTCGTCCCGATCCGCGGCGTATCACCGTGCAGGGACGGAGATTGGTGAGCAGGCGATGGCAGGAATGGTTTTTCCGAGTCGTTTTGCAAATACAGAGAGTCCGGGAGCTGTAAAGCTGTATGGAATTGGCAATATACCCAGCCTAGGCCCCCGAGATGGTCAGCTAGCTGACTGCCT